GATTCGCAACGCCACTCGATTCACAGTGTAGGAGGTGCCAGATGGCCTAATTGTTGGAAGACCCCGAACAATTCATTTTTTTTATTACCGCATTTGCATTGAAGTTCACAAGTAATTTAAAGGTCTATCTCATTTCCAAGTTATGGATTGTTTTAAATAAGAAAATAAAGGATTGTTACAATCAGCATTGAAAATGACACTTAACTTCATGTTCCAAAACTTACATTAGAGTTTGATATTATATTACATATTATTAATTCGTTTATCTTTCACTCTGGCAAGTTTCCACATCTCTTGTAAATCGAATTTGGCAGGAATAATAATAACAACCGCGAGGGGGTATAGAAGAACTACTTTCTTCCGCATCTACAAGGCCAAATTCTTTAGTACTCATCCTTAATCTCACCACTGCAGTTTTTGCCATCTCCAGTAAATCCAGGTTTGCAGGTACAGCGATAAGACCCATGGGTATTCTGACAAGTGGCATTGGCGTCACAGACCTGGACAGAGGCATTACATTCGTCCACATCTGCACACAAAATGTAAATTCTTATTAAGTAAATTAAAGTCGATTGAAAAAGAAAATGTATGCATCTATGATACCGACCTTAAGATGATGATATCTATGCATTAGTTTTTTTTTTTTTTTACATTTCTTTCTTTTTTTGGGTGAAAAATACTGTTCTAACCTGTGCAGCTCTTTCCATCCAAGCGATATCCAACAGCACATCGACAAGAATAAGAACCATCATTGTTTACACAAGTGGCGTTCACTGGACAATCGTGCAAGAATGCTTTGCATTCATCGTGATCTGTCAAAAGAAATTCTACGATTTTAAATAAATAAAATAACTAAATATAGGAATGGGAAGTGGCACATCCCACGGAGGGGCTCTAAGTCCACTCTTAGAAAGTAGATACTTAATTGAAACACGACGAAAATAACAGCATTAATTTACATCAGTGCTTGAGGGGTCGTGTGTAACTTCCCAGTTCAAATAGGAATTTAACTATAATTAATTTGAATTTAGCTCTCAAAAAATAATTTGTGAGATAATTAAAGTGCTGAAATATAGTGTTCCTTTTAACTAAGCTAAATACGGATTTTGCTATCGAAAAAAAGGATTTCAGTTCCATTTATTGCCAGACTAATCTTAGATTGTAATCCAAACAATCCACATCCGTAGGTAGATCGCTCAGAATCGCAATTCAAAGCGGTTTTTAGATTGTCGTTCCATTTAAGCGAACATGTCCCGGATTATACCACTTGGCCACTCAGCTCGGTGTACTTCAAACGTGTGTGGAGAGTGAGTGCGAAAGCCTGCCATCTTTATTTCGAAAAAAGTCATTTCCAGGCTCCATATCGTTGTGGCTCGATCGTTGGCTGTATCAATTTTTTAGATTTTTGTTCCAGCTTCCATGAACATTCAAGGAATCTGGATTAACTAAATATATTGGTTAAAAGAAACGCTTCGAAAGGGCAAGAATGAAGCAGCTGTGAAAAAGGATCAATCTGTCAGTTTTCCTCAGGGTATAGGAAATACATTGACAGTAACTGTTTTTTTTT